GTGGTAACGCGTGGGGAAGGATGAAACATACCTCTGGCTCTGCTGGGGGCGAGCAGGGAACACACGGACTGGGATCTGCCGTGAAACCATCCCGCCAAAGCGGAGACGGGAGCAGGGCTCCAGCTGCCCTAGGCAGAGGCTGCAGAGCGCAGGCTGACCCAGAGCAGCAAAAGGGTGCCCGGGGCAGCGGGCTCTGAGAGCTGGAATAAGTAAGAGGATCCGGGGAAAAGAGCTGTGCAATTTCAGCTGTGCAAAGCCCTGGCATCCCGGCACAGGAAGAAGGCAATTTAAGCCTGGAAATTTGTGTTCGGCTGCAAACATTTCTGCCGAGGTTTGCAATAGCACTTAAAACTGACCCAGGACCTAAAGCCTCCGCTTCAGAAGCTGCGCAGTTTTTTGGGTCATCTCCAAATGAGGAACACGGGTTTCAAAATTATCTCTTTATTTTTTAATAATTTTTTCTATGCTTACAGAGGATGAGGACAAGGCTTCAGGGGTATTTGTTGTGATTGCAGGCCAAAATTTTGTACCGTGCCTCCCTCCAAGGTTCTATTTTCAAACGAAATTCCAGAGTGCTCTGTAGTAAAAGGGGGAAAAAAGCTACAAACAAAAACTAAACAAATTATCCACTTTAACCTCCTTTTTATATCTTTTTTTTTTTCCTTACAAACACATTACTTCGACAGAGAAATGTGTTTATTCTGAAAAGTTCCCCACAATTAGTCTCTGCTTTGAACGCAAACTCCGGATGCACTGAAGTCACTTATCTGTGGAGATATCACGAACAACATTAAAAGCAGGGAAAGAGGCAAAAAACCCCCAAATGCAGGAGTCACCTTCCAGATTCTGGGAAGACGACGCTAAAGGAAATACTAATTTACATATCTGAGCTTTCCAAACCAACACCGGGAGCTTGCCCCAATCCTGTGCCCTCGGAAATGCAATTGCACCCCACTTTGCATCTTACCTCAGCAGCTGCAAGTTAAATCTAAAAATACAGTGGTTCGGGCTTTTTTGTTTGTTGGCCTGTTTTTCAATAAATTGTAGGCTTGCTTTAGAAAACATTTAAACGCTAAAAATCCCTCGGTTCTCTGGGAGCGCCGGGGCAGCGGCGAAGCGCGGGGAGCCCCCAGCGCCGCCAGTGCCGGGAGCCGCCGCCGCTCCGGGACGGCCCCGGAACCCAAAAAGAGGGGCCAGGGCCGCCCCCTCCCCAGGCAGGCACACCAGATAGGAGCTATCTCAATTTACACCAGCTGCGACCCTGGCTGGCCGTCCGCAGCGGCGGCGAAGCGATGATCTTTTCTTACATTACTATAATTACTTTCGAAAGCCTGACTCACATAAAAAGTATCTATAAAGATTTACTCGCGGTTTTGTCAATTTCGAAATAGGTTTCTCCGTTTTCCATCTACTCTAAACTTGCTGGTTTCAATCTCCAAAACAGTCATTGGAAAAGAAAACTGGGGGTGGAGAAGCATTTCTATAAAGAGCTTAACCAAAGCACATTAAATATTTTCCCAACATCACCAAATAAACAACAATTCTCCAGCTCCCTATAAACTATTTAAAGCATGTCATATCATCTCTTCTGTTATTGCCAATGTACTTTTCTTTTAATTTACAAGCTGATTGGAGCAGGGGCCTGTCTTTTTGTATATATTTGCAAAATATTTGGCACCCTTTCAGTCAGTTGCAGTTCACAAACACTTAAAACTGCATTTAACTTCATTATTATAGGTAGTCACTTCGATTTTTCCTCTCTTTTGTAGAGCTACTGCCTGTGAAAGTGCTTCTTGTAAATGGTCTGAGCAGTTGTTGAAGGTTTTCAACAGAGGAAACCTCTTCAGATGGAAAAAAAAAAAGAAAGAAAGAAAGAAAAAAAAAAAAGAGAAGAAAAAGCACAACGGAAATCTAAACTCAGATCTCAGGCTATACAAATTGGCCCAAAAGAAAATGGGGGAAATCTCCTTAGGAGGAACATTTTTAGTTCACTAAAGAATAAACTTTGCTCATAAATGATGAAAGTTATTATCATCAGAGGATGTCCTGTACCAAACAAACCTCCATTAGGCTGGGAAGGATAAAACAGGCTAGACAGCCTTTAAAAAAAAAAAAATCATCATGTCTTTGATTCCCAAGATATCAACCATGTCTGTTTCTTTAGTGCTGTCAAGTAAATCTGAGTTATGGATGCTCTAAAAGAAGCCAGCAAGGAGAAAATTCAGCAAGTGAAAATTAAGAGTTATCCATATTTCACAAAAATACACTTTCTTTTCAAGTTCTTAAGCTTCTGCCCTGTAGAATAGTATGACAATTTCTTAGAAGAGCAAGACCAGTGAATGTGGTAAAGCTGTGATCATCAGCATACAATTGCATGGCAGATTCTTTTTACCGTGCTTTTTGCTCTTTCTGCAAAGCAGTGTCCATCATTTTCACCACAAGAGCCTTAACGTCTGGAATGTAACCTCCTAAAACTGCCAGTGCCTCAAGGTGGGTGTCACAGCCTGGGCTCCACTGCTGAAACCATTTTCTAGCCTGTTTATGTATCATGTCTAACCTGATCAAACAGACAGAGGACAGTTGCTTGATTTAGTACAGCATCCACATATTGCTCTTTAATGTAGGTGATCTAGGAAGTTGTGTAAAAAGCAAATCCCTGTGTCTGGGCGAGAAGGACTGGCTGGTTAGGGAGCTCAGGCACAGCAGGAGGAAAGCAAGCCCACTGAGAGAGCTTCCTCCCTCCTTACATGCCAAAGGCAAGGCATCCATCAAAGCCATCAGCCTGGTCAGGAAAAGCACAGTTGGCTATGTTGTCTTTGCATTTTTGCCAGTGCGAAAGGAGCTCAAACTGGTATTTCCAAATCTAGCCATAGGAAAATAGAGCACATTTCTTTGAGAGTCATTCTGTACTCACTACATGTGTAATGAAGAAACCTGTGAAAAAAAAAGGTGGGGGGGACAGGGGCAAAAAGCACTGGTTCCATAAAGGTTGTGAGGCTGTGAGTGTGGGCTCTCCCTGGGTGGAACACCACAGAATGAAAATGGGAGGATGAAACAGAGTTTTAGGTAGCTACCAATAAAAAATAATTGTTTTTAGGGTTTTTTTCAGTTTTGTAATTTAATTTCCAGTTCTGCGAAAAGTTAGATACCATGTACTCTGTTGGAATAAACAGCATTTATTGTTTCCCTTATCTGCCTTATTGTTTTAGTTTATTTGACTTCTGATGCATGGTCTCAAAAATTCTCTTACCAGCTCAGGAGAGTCTGGTCCTGCAGATTTGTCCGTAGAGAGATCTTGTGAAATCCCAAAGTGTTGAAGTCCCAACAGTCCTTGAAAGACTGAGATGCACAATTTCCTGCTGTAGGAATTGCTCTGGGGTTCAAACCAGCTGCCATCTCAGCACATAGAAATCCCCTTTGCCCAAGTGCCTCTTCTGCAAGCAGAAAAAAATCCACATAATGACTGAGAACATTTCAGTGTACAACAATGCCCTTGGACAGAGAATGCTCTTTGGCTCCATTAACTTCTCTGTACTCATCAATGGCCAGGTCTGATTTCACTTTTGTCTTTCATATCTTGAGAAGCACCAAATACAGCAGCAATTTGTCACAGTCAAAGAGATAGAGTGAGAACACCACAAAGAGACTGGAGCTCTGCAGTGCCCTGAAGACCACAATAGCCTTGGAAAACTTTTCCTTCAGATTGAGCCCAGCCCTGAGCAGCAGAGAAATGTGTAGAATTATTCCTGTTTCACATCATCACGTGAAAAAGAAAGAGAAGTGAATATGCCAATTTTACAAGCCTGAGAATGAATGCAAGCGAGTATTTGTCCCACCATCTGGGGGAGATGATAGAGGTGAAGGGAGAGGGAATATGAGGGGGATGGTAAAAGTTGACAGAGACCTTCTATTTTTCTGGAGGGATGCTTTACATTCCAGCAGAAAAAATGGAGGAAGCGGACATGAGAATTAGATCAGAGAGGGGAAGTAAGAAGATGGATGAAGTGCAAGGCTGGAGGAGCAAACGAGTCAATTATGAAAAAGAGGAAGGAACTGTGTGCAGAAATCAACGAGGAGATGGAGCTCAGGGGAAGGAACAGCAGCCAAAATGCTCTCAAATCAGAGAAGCTGCTGGGGTGAGAGAGACAGAAAAGAATTGGAATATTTCAGGTAATGATAAAATTGTAAAACCCTGTCTGCTATGTATTTATTTGCATAGGGCAAATAAGCTCTCTGTCACCAGCTGTATCCAGACACCTGAGCATGGCCCTGCTACAGACAAAGACAGACAAATCAGCCATGTCAAAGCTGTAAACTGTTGGTGTGCATTAGAGAAATCAGAACCAGCACATGAAACTCAAGGGTAGAGAGTAAGAGGAGAAAACTATGGGTCATGCCTGAAAAACAGACAAATGGATAAAGTAGAAATAAAGTTAAATGCCCATAAGGAACCACAAAATTCAGAATCTCAGGAGAGAGCACCACTGAATGAGGGGGAAAGGCCAGCAGTACATCAGTGACCTGTATTCATGGAGGGAGGAGTCTCAGGCTGGTGCCAGATAGACTTTATAAAACTCTGCTTCCATTGCCCAGATAAAGCAATGTTCTTTCTGCATAAATTCCAGAGCCTTTCCAAGAACTCATCCTCACCTCAGCATTGCTTAAGGGCTGGCATGTCAGCAGAAGTGAGGGGTGAGGTGCACAGTCCCTAACCCAGGCACAGAACCTTATTGCCCTGTAGGGAAGGTGCATTTATTCACAGCACAGACATCTTTGTCCTTTCTACCGCAGACAATTGGGTATTGCCTTGTATCCTCTCCCTCCACAGTTCCCCTTCTGTTGGTCCTTTAGAACAGCAACAGTTGAGAAAGCTAAAAATAAAGCTATATAAGCAATATAATAGGCATGCAATTGCATGTCTATTTTCTTTGAAAAAATTATTCTTTATTTCCTGTTCAATGGAAAATACAGTTTGATGTTACAACTATTAGGTTTTGCTGAATGCAGAAATTTGACTGAAACAATGACATTTCCTCCTGTATTTACTATTACCATATGTCACTGATTATATATTTAAGTTGCAAAGATGAATTAAATTTCATGGCTTCCTCAAGCTAGATTCTCTTGGAATGGACTGTCTTTTGTTACTAACCAAAATGCTTGGAAAACAGTTTAAATCAAAACAGCAGACTTTTGGTATCATTTCAGGAGAAAACTGGTTATCACAAACCAAGTGCTTAACACATCATCATCCAGGAGGCTGGGTGAAGCCTTGCAAAGCTGCAGCCATCATGGCCAGGATAGAGAAAGAGGGTTAATTGAACACTACAGACTTAGAGATGGAAAAAGGAGAGGAAAAAAAAAAGATATTGTTTGACGCTCTCTTGCCAGGGGTCTTATTCCTTCTGCTTCTGAAGTTATCATATATCCCACATCACAGTGCTTATTTCACTTACTTAGGCAAAGCATCTTCTCTAAGCTGGCTACAGAGCATTAGTGACAATCAGATTGCACACATGCACACATGTTCCAGGAGAAGCCAGCCTTGTCCTTGCTAGATTTCCTCCTGCTTTCTGGGGAGAAAAAAAAAAAAATCTGGTTTTCTTTTTTTTTTTTTTTTACTCCTTCTGTTTCCCATCACGATTTGGATTGCTAACATTTCTATCCCCACTAGGAGTCCCTGGTGGCTCCTGGCCCTTTTCTAAAGGACCAGCGGACAGCATAGCCCCTGGGCTCCCATCAACCAGGAAGGAAGTGAATTGCAACCCACAGCCTGCCAGACTCCGATTTCAGACCTTAAGGTGATGCAAAACGACTTTAGGAAACTCCCCATGTCCAGCTTCCCCCTTCCTCCAGGTCCTGTCCGGACCTGAACAGCCAGAGCTGGAAGAGGACAGCCGTGATGAGAGAAGTCACCACAGGCAGGTTTGTGGATATTGCAGACTGTGACACAAGAGGAATCTCAGTGGTGGCAGTTACAGTGTACAGCAGAACCTGAACAGGGCTCATGAGTGGGAATCAGGTTGTCATTCCTAACTGAAGAGTTTGGGAAGAACAGTAAAAGAAGCAGGATTCAGCATAAGAAGGACAGCTATGCTGTGCTTGCTGAAGGACTCAGCAGGTAGGACACTGCCAGGACAGGCCTCAGTGAGAACACTGCAAATTCATGTCATACTTTGCCAAAGACTCAATCAATTGAGCATGTGCTAAAGCTGAGTTTGTTTTGTCTTATTTGGAGCTTTGGAAGATATTTCCTATCTTGACTCATTGAACACACTCCAACCACACACCTGCAACTTCTGGAGTGCATCCTCTCAGCAAGAGGCTGGCTAGCACGTCGTCACTTATGCAGGGCAAATCCTACTGAAAGCACATCTGACCACAGCTTTCACACCAGTTTACTTTTACATGTAGCACATGTAAGCTAACATCTGGCAAGAACACAACTATGTCCTGATCGAGATGGAGCTCATAGCAACAGATGGTGTTTGATACTGCAGGACCAGAGGGGCTCTACCTTAAACTGAGCATTATTTTCTTTCTGAGTTTTTCCCCTCTCTGGCCACATCTTTTTCTGGGTATAGCCACAGCCACTATGGCTTTGCAGTCCCCTCAAGACCAAACACACTCTCAGCCTGCAGGTCACTGCCTAGCCCTAACACCCAGGTGATTTTGCTGCCATTGAGGCATGTCAGAGCAACCATTATATTGTGCATTAGTATAACATGAGGCTAGCAATGCCCTGAACCAGACAGTGCCTCCAGTGCAGGAGGAAACTCTCTCCAAGCACACAGTAGCTCTGCCTGCAGGCACGCAAGCAGCACCGGTAGTTAGCAATCTAACAAGCAACATCTGCTGCCTATTTGGGGGCAAAGGATGAAAAGCCAGCAAAGAGTAGCCTACAGATCCAGCTCCTCGAGACTGGGATTTTCATACTAAAGGGAAAAGTGTTTGGAAGAGAAAATCCAGCATCAAAATCAACGTTGCTGTGGCTCTGGAAGATACAAGATGCGACTAACCTAACGCCTCTTCAGCTTTACACTGTCCGCGATTACTGTCCGCGATTTTTTTCTTTTTTTTTTTTTTTTTTCGGGCCAGATCTTTATTTTGCCCGTTAAAGTGCGGCGAGAGATTGCCACCTTGTGGTTCCTTCTCCTGCAGTGCCATGTTTTTCTTCCCACATGTTCCAGGCTGGATCAGTGGTTTCCAAACTGCTGTGCAGGGATTTCTAGTGACAAGGGTACTCTGGACAAGAATACCCTCCAAATACTTAATTACCTAGAAAAACACATCTGTAATTCACAGTCTTCAGTCCCTATACCTAGAAACTTATCACTAGAAAACCTTTCAGGAATCTAACTTGCAAGTTAATAAACATGAGTAATTAGTGGCATGGGTACATAGCTCCCAAACAGCAATACATAACACAATGGCAGTGATGCAGAAAACCCTTTACAATATTCTAGCACCAAGAAGTCTGTGAGAAATTCAGGGCTGATTGACAGCCTGCCATTGCTAAAACATGGGATGATCTCAGACAGTAGTTCCCACAAGGTCCTCATAAAGAAGGAGCAGCCATGTGCTCATGCCCCACCTTGCAGACAGGATGGCAGAACAGGACCAGGCTGTGCTGGTCCAGAGTCACTCTGGTACTGCTTAGGGCAGCTTGTGAGATCTGTCCCTCAGGCAGCATAACTTGGGGAAAGGTCTGCACAAGTCTGTTACCAGGCAGCTCCTTCATCAATTATGCCCAGGTAGAGCACCAGGTAATATTTCCCGAGTGGTACTAAAGGGGAGTTAGAAAGTGGACGATCAGCAAGAGCTTGTGAAGCAGCATGGCCCCTGTGAACACCCAGTGAATTCATCACATTTGAAAAAAAAATAAAAAATAGCTGCCTCCCCCAGAGAGAGAGAGAGAAGAGTCTCTCGTAACACAGAAAGGAGCACAGATCCCCCTGGTCGCTTTTCATGCCTGTCTGCCTGCTGACATACTGACACAGAAAGTGACCTATTTTCATGGAAGCAATAATGAGTGAATAATCAGAATTTTTCGGGCACTTCCTTTGCCTCCATGACATTTTCTAGCTTATTGCTTTGCCACTACTGAGCCTGTTGCAGTTGTAAGCAACTGCTTTCTAGTTCTCCAGCCTCCTTTCAAGTTTGTCGTGAATGTTGGTCCAGGGAAGACACAAAAGTTTAAGGAGTCCCCTAAGTCCATTCTTGAGCACATACTTCTGAAGCTGATAAACCCTAGCAACATTCCCCATCAGGTCTAGACACGAGAATAAATGTAGCTACAGTGTGGCACATTTGTTTCCTAGAAAGACTGCAAATCTAACGACTACTCACCCTCCATTAAAAAATCCCAAACAAACAAAAAAATCAAACCACTCCCACGGGAAGAAGGGAAATTAATCTGAACTGAAAAGCTGAAGAGTAGGGCCTTGACAGATAACAGAGGGAGGCTGAATGCAAATTCCAGCTCCAGAGAGTGCTGGCAGAAGCCCCTCAGCAAATCCCGACC